GCACAGCTGCGAACTGGTGTCAGAAACAAATTTCGCGAAACCCTGAAAAGAAGCGGGGTGTTGGGAGAGCGGGGCGGAAGGATAGCGAGAACTGCGAACGCGTCGAGAGGAGCGCGGGGATGTGGAGTGGATTGGGATGGAGTGGGCAAGAGTAGGGCCTCAGGAGGAGGAGCGGCAAGGAGTGGAGAAGAGGGACCGGGAGGGGTGCGGAGGAGCGGGGGCCGCACGGAGGAATCTGGAGGAGGGGCTGGAATAAATTGGGAGAGATGCGGAATGCGAGCGGAAAAGGGGTGAAGATTGTTGGGGTGGGATGGGGCGGCCCAGGGAGGACTGGGCGGAATGCTAAAAATTGAGAAATAGCACAATGGAGTACGAACGAAATGAAAATGGAGATAAAGGGACAGAGTAGAGAAGACTGCGGAAGAACGTTGAAAAGTGGGGCAAGGCGAGGGGGGATTGGAAGGCACCCGAAAGCCTCCCATGACTTCTGAGGGGCCCCGGAATGGCCCCGATGACCACCGAGCAGTTCCAGAGCTCCGAAAACCTGCGGTAACGCCCCTGGGGCCTCGTCGAGGGAGGCCTTCATTCGAAGCCTGCAGAAGAACCTGGGCCAGTGGAACACGCGTGTCTCAAAGGCTGGCAAACCGGACCCCGGCAAGCGGCGGACCGGAGGAGAGGGATGAGGGCGGGGGCTGAAGGGCCGACAGGCTGGCCCTCGGCAGGCGGCGAGGCAGTCGCGCGGATTATCGGCCCGGCTGGCTGAAAGGTCGGAGCGCTTGGCTCCAGGCGGCAGGCGGGCCCCAAGGGGGGCGGCCAGGGACGACGACGACGACAACAATGACGATAGGAGGAGGGAGGGAGGGAGGGAGGGGGGGGAGGGAGCAGGGAGGGACGGAGGGGCGGGAGGGACAGCTGCGAAAGGAGAGAGAGAGAGAGAGAGAGAAAGAGAGAGAGAGAGAGAGAGAAAAAGAGATAGGGAGAGAGAGAGAGAGAGAGAAATAGAGAGAGGTGAGAGAGAGAGTGAGAAAGAGAGAGAGAGAAATAAACAAAAGAGAGAGAGAGAGAGAATAGAGAGAGAGAAGGGAGGGAGAAAGAGAGTGAGAGAGAGAGGAATAACACAAAATACAAAAAATGATAAAGAGAAACATATACGTATATGGGGCCAGACAGGGCGACAGTGGGGCCGCTGAGCGCAGAACGTGGGCCGCGAAGGGCAGCGAGTGGGCCGCGAGTGGCGACAGCGGGGCGACGAAACGCACGCGTATGGGACCACGAAAGGCGCGAGCGAGCGGGGGCCGCGAAGGGCAATTAATCCGGGGCTACAGAGGTCCCCGCTGAGGGCAGAAACGGGGCCACGAATGGCAAAGAGGGGGCCACGAAGGGCGACAGCGGGGCCACGAAGGGCATGCATATGGGGCCACGACGGGCGCGAACGGGCGGGGGCCACGAAGGGCATTCGTATATGGGATATGGGGCCACGAAGGGCGACAGCGGGGCCACTGAAGGCAGCAAAGGGGACACGAAGGGCAGCGAGAGGGCCACGAAGGGCGACCGCGGGGCTACGAAGGGCATGCGTATGGGGCCACGACGGGCGACTGCGAGCGGGGGCCACGAAGGGCATATAATGCGGGGCCACAATGGGCAGCGACGGGGCCACTGAGGGCAGCAACGGGGCCACGAAGGGCAGCGAGCGAAGGCGACCGCGGAACCAGTGCGGGCAGCGAGGGGCATCGAAGGCGGGCGAAGGGCACCGAGCGGCGACTGTAGTCCCTAACGGGCTGGTCGGGCGGGCAGGCCCAGACGGGCGGGTCGAGCGGGCGGGCCGTTGAAACGTAAATTTTGCTTGAATTGCCAGGCGATATGTAGCGGGAGCGCGATTCCTGAGTGTCGAGGAGCGGCATCTGAATAAATCGTGAGGAAGTAGCAGGCGGGAGCCGCGATTCGGTGGTAAGTTGCGAGGGAGTCCCAAGCGAAAGCGCGGTTCTTCAATCAATTGTAGGGAAATATCAAGCGGGAGCCGCGATCTGGTGGTAAATTGCAAGGAAGAAGCGAGAGCGCGATTCTTCAACAATTTGTGAGGACGTCTCAGGCGGGAGCCGTTGTCGTTGTTGTTGTTGTTGTTGTTGTTGTTGTTGTTGTTGTTGTTGTTGTTGTTGTTGTTGTTGTTGTTGTCGTAAACCGGGGGCCAACGACACAGTTTGACCCTCAAGACTTTCCTTGAAAAACACAGGATACGAGCCCCAGGAAGGGCACTTCAATCGAAAAAGTCAATGTTCACCGGACGGGGGGATCAACAATAGTTATTCTTCAGAAGTGAGAGTTCAACAACAACCAGAACAATCGCGGAATCCCACTGCAGCCGCGCACCGCGGGACAGTGAATGACCGTTCGGCCCCTTCCCTCTGACCTTGAGTTCGGGAGGGGGCTGAGGTTCCCGGGCCTCTCCCATTCGTGGCCGAAGCATGCAGTAGCCGGATCAAGAGGCCTGTATGTTCTTGATGCGGCGCTCCTCATGGCAGCGCGCTGGCTGAGGCGCCCCTGGAGAGCTCGGGGCTCCTGTCGGGGTCCGTCCATCGCGGGCCTTCAAAAATTTGTGTTCGGAGGCATCTGGTAGAGCCTAGGACGTTCGCGCTGGCGCGAAGATCCTCGCGCCTCGCGCGCCGCGGGTTGGACCAGAGGGCCACCCTTCTCGAACACGTCGTCGTCGTCGTCGTCGTCGTCGTCGTCGTCGTCGTCGTCGTCGTCGTCGTCGTCGTCGTCGTCGGGGGGGGGGGCGTCTGCGGCGAAAAGAAAAGCACGTTGCGCATCGCAGGGCGTGATTCCTAGCATTTCGTTACCTGGCGGAGGCCTCCGAAGAGTCGTTGGAAGCCTCTTGGGGCGTTCTAAGGTCTAAGGCGCCTCTGCGTCCATTTAGGAGCCGCCTGGGGTGATTCGGGGTTCGGAATAGGACGCTAACGACCTCGAACATATCGCATTGCTTTCATGTGCGAACGTCTTGTGGCTTGTCGATGACTTCGGGGAGGTGTGAACGCGTCTGCAGGCTTGTCTGGGACCCCGGGCAAACTTATAAACACCCTACATGTTCCCCACGTTGCTTTGGGAATTGGGTTGGCGAGTTCAGCATGCTCCCTGCCCCCACCTCAAACTCACATCGGAGTCCCAGGGCAGCTCTTTGGGGCCTACGGGGGGGCTCTTGAGCGCCCTTTGGGAGCCTGCTGGCGGTCATCGGGGCCGAAGGCCCCTTCGAGCTCCCCCTCGTGGGCCCCCCCCCTTTGGGGGGCAACCTCGGGGCCCTTTCGGTGTTGAGGGGCTATGAGGCGTTTCTTGGAGGCCCTGGGGGGGCTATGTTGGAGTGAGATCGGGGTCACTTCACGCTACATCTTCGGAGCACTTCGCCTGTCCCCATAATTGGTGTCTTCTCCTGTGCCCGACGCGGACTTGGCGTGGATCCGATGCGGGCTCGACACGGATTCGACACGGATCCCACGAGTCCGTCATGGATTCGATACGGATTCGACGCGGAGAGGGCCGCGACGTGACAGACAAGGCCCCTCGAGGATGCAACATGAGGTTCTTGGACCATCTTCGACTTTTTTCGGCGAGTCGGGGGGGAAGTGAGAATGAGCGGGCGTTCGCAGAAGGCTCGGAAGTCCCCCGGCCTTTGAGAGGTGTTCTAAGATTTCCCCGAGGACACAGAACATGTATGAGAAGGCGCGAGGGTTTATGAGAAGCCCCACCGCCTCTGAGAAGGCCTTTTCCTTTTCATTTCTCCCCCTCGCTCGGCGCCATTTTTTTTACACCGAAGAGGCGAAAGAGGCTTCCGAGACCGTCGAGAAAAAATTGTGGTTGTTTGGATTCCCCCTCCTGCGCTTCCGCAGCCTCCCCAGAAAAAAATCATGCGGCAAGCCGCCCCAGGAGCGCCCTGGGACAGGCCCTGGGAAATCTTGGGCGTGTGGCAGGGCTCCTCTCTCGGGGCTCAATGTACGGGGGCCAATCATGGCAATGCAAGCGGGGGTCAGCCAGAGCGCCGGATCTTGCAGAATCCTGCAGAGCCAGGGGTGTATTGACCCAGATTTGGGTGCAGGACCTTGCAGGATCCTGCAGGATCCTGCAAAGCCCGACTGACCCTGTTTGGGATTGACCCGGGTCAGTAGGTCTCCGAATCTCGATTCCTCCGTTTCGATTCTGGCCGCCGATTCCGATCCGATTCGGCTCTAGATTCCGATGTCAACTCCGATCTCTGAACGGAGGCCTACTGACCTGCCGATTTCTGCCAATTCGACTTTTCCCGACTCGACCGCTGATTTCCGCCGATTTGATTCAAGTCGATCGCCGATACGTCTTATCGATTCGATTCTGGGCTCTCTTGCTGTGGATCTTCTAAAGCTTGATTTTACAATACCCCACACAGAGCTCGAAGGGACCTGGGCACACGCCACTCCACGCAACGTCTCGCGGCAGGGTGGCGGCTTCTCCGAGGAGCCTTCAGGCAGAAGGTGGAGAAGGCTGAGGAGGAGGATCATCTAGGCCTAGAGTCGGAGTAGATGATGCCAGACGATCACGCCGCATCGTCGATGCGTCGGCGATGCGGCTCGATGTGGAGCCCAATTTTCTCCACGCTGGCGTCGCCGATGCATCGCCGGCGACGTCGATGCAGCTTCTGTGCATCGGCTATGTATCGGCGGTGCATCGGCGGTGCGGCGCGATCCTCCGACCCCATCTGCTCGGATCCCATCTTAAGGCCTCCAGACGAGGAGAAGGACCAGGATCAGAAGCGTGAGCTCCTCCGCCTCCTCATCCTCCTCCTCCTCCTGCTCCTCCTCCTCCTCCTTCTCCTCCTCCTCCTCCTCCTCCCCATCCCCCTCCCCCTCCTCCTCTTCTTCCTCCTCCTCGCTCGCCCTCCCTGGCTCGTCCCCACGTCGTTCGGCTCCTGCGCCCTCGCGCTGCCCGTCGGCGTGCGCGGAGAGCTCGGAGAGCGCGCCCGTCGGCCGAGCGCAGAGGTGTCCGAGCAGCCCCTGCCGAAGCCCCTGGGGGTGCAGGCCCCAGGCGACCCTGCCCTCTGCGGCGCCGTGCTCGTCCCGAAGGGCCGCCGGAGACCCGATGCAGGGCCCGAGAGCTCGATGTCCGACGATACGAGTAAGTCGGGCCTGTCCCTCTACAGGAGGAATATTCAAGAATAGTCCAGAAATAGTCTGGGGACGATTTTTAACAATTCAACAAAATCCGCCTGTAGCGGGACATGCCCGACCTACCGAGACGTGTTTCCAATCCTGGCGTTTGTTTCCTCGAATTCGGCCTCCAGGGCCCGCATCGGGACTGTGGACCCTCAGGAACGGATCCGAGGGAAATGGGGTCGGGAGATCTGGGAGGTCTGGAACCCCCTGGCGGCGCCTCCGGCGCCGCCCCTGGCGCGCTCCGCGCGCCAGGTAGGGGGGGCCAGCGCAGATCCAAGAAGTCCGCGCGGAACGCCAAAAGTGTATGGTTATACAGTTTTTTCTTCTTCTGGAGTCTAGAGGCAGGCAAGGGGAGGGGATAGGGCTTCTCAGAAGTACCCCTGCTTCTCAGAACGCGTGGGCCTCAAATGTAGATGTAGGGCCGTCGCCTTCAAGGAGCAGCCTTTTAAGAAGCCTTCCCCCCTCCCCTACCCCCCGCTGCGCACCGCCAACTCTCATGCTGCTCAGCGCAGTTGCATCGCGAATGTTGCCACGGACTCGATCTAGATATCCCAGACAGGGTCCGAGTAGATGGGGTCGGAGGATTTTGCGCCGCATCGCCGATGCATCGGCGGTGCGGCTCGATGTGGAGCCCGATTTTGTCCACGACTCGACCTCGCTGATGCATCGCCGACGTCGCGGATGTTTCGCCGATGCACCTGCGATGCATCGGCGATGCGGCGGGATCAACCCACCCGATCTACAGTGAGAATCCCACCACGGGGGATTCTGGGGTGGCGGTGTTTGGAGGGCGCGGAAAGGAGGGGGAATGCGAGGAGGGGAGAGGCGCAGCAGGAGGGAGCGACGAGAAGGCGAGAGAGGCGAAGGAGGCGGGGACGACGAGGGGAGCACGGAGGCAAAGGAGGCGAGGGAGCGAGGGACAGGGATGAGGCGGAGGAGAAGGGACGGAGCGTCCAACCCAGTTTTTCCCCGTCGTGGACGGCAGTGAACCGCAGTCCTGCTGCGGCGCCTCTCGGGGGGGCCGGGGTGTGGGGGGGGAAGAAAGAATCGAACAACAACAACAACAACAACAACAACAACAACAACAACAAAAATGCCAACAGGGGGGATCTTGTTTTGTTTTGTCCCCCCCCCTCCCTTCTCCCCTCTCCGAGGCCGCCGCTACTGGTTTCGAGAACCGGCCCCGCCACCGCCGCTTCCGATGTCCCACAGCGCCCCTTCGGCCTTTTGGGGGGGAGGGGGGGGAACAAAAAATATCGCCGAAAGGGGGCGGGAGATTTTTGTTTTGTTTTCTCCCCCCCCCCCCCTCCCCTCTCCGAGGCCGCCGCTACTGGTTTCGAGGGCTGGCCCCGCCGCCGCTGTTTCCGATGTCCTCTGGCGCCCTTCAGGCCTCCTGGTCCGCCTTCCCCCTTTGCCCGTTTTTTTTGTGTTGTTCCGTTCGTCGACGGCGGCGCGCCTGCGGTGGCCCCGACGGCGTTTGTTTTAGATTTGGTGGCTCCTGTGGAAGAGCCCCAATACGATGCCTTGTATATTTCGGGGGAGCTCCACTGCTAATGAGATCTCCCAATGCCAATGGGCGAGGCATTGCTTGATCATGCTTGGAGCTGCTTGCCATCGAGTGCTCCTGTTTGGCCTCGGTTGGTTGTGCTTGGCATTGCCTGGTTGCGTTTGGCACTGAGTGGTCGCTCTCGGCTTTGCTTCGCGTTGGTTACTCTCGCTTGGCGTTGCCCGCATTGCGCGTTTGTGCGTGGCACTGGATGGTCGACCTTAGCATTGCTTGGCACGGCTTGATCGCGTGTGGCGTTGAGCAATCGTGCTTGGCATTGCGTGACATTGGTCGGTCATGAGTCATGCTTGGCGTTGCTTTGGTCGCGCATGGCATCGAATGGGCATGCTTGGCATTGCTTGGCATTGGATGGTCATGTTTGGCGGCGTTTGGCAATGTGTGGTCCTGCTCTTGCCATTGCCGGGCGTTTTTGCAGGGAATGCTTGGCGTCGGATGGTCGTGCTTGACATTGGTTGGTCGTGCTTGGCGTTGTTTGGACTTGTTTGGTCATGCTTGGCACTGGTTGGCATCACTTCGAGGTGATTAGTATTGGTTGGTCGAGCTTGGCATTGCCTTGCATTGGTTGGTCGTTGTTGGCGGTGCTTGCCAATGAGTGGTCCTGCTCTTGCAATTACCTGGCATCGTTAGGTACTGCTTGGCATTGAATAGTGCTTACAAAAGAATCATTACTAGGGAACCCTGCTTGAAGAACCATCATTGAGGAATCCTGACCGAGGAATAGTTACGAATGTTTGCTGAGGAGTCCTTACGAAGGAATAGGTTCTTAAAACGCATATTTTGCAAGGGATCTGTTTCAAGGAATCCTTGGTGAAGAATTTGCATGGGGGAATCCGCATCGTAAACCGTTGCTACGGAGTTCTGTCTAAGGAACCTGTGTTAACGCATATGTTTGTTTGTAAGGATTTTTTTCTTGAGGGAACCTTCATCCAGAATCTTGACTAAGGAGCCCTTTTACTACGGAATATGTATTCAGGAACGTTTTGTTCAGGAATCCCCGGACGGGAATATTCATTAGGGAGACTTGGGTCAGGACTTTTGCACGAGAGAAAATGGGCAAAAGTGTTCCCCGGTAAGGGCGCCTTACTACGGAATCGTTATGGAAGAATCCTCTCTCAGGAACCATTATTAAGGAATCTTCGATAAGGAACGTGCACGAATGATTGTTTGGTAAAAAGCACTCTCTATGTAGGAATATGTACGAAAATATCTGTAGTGATGAATAGCTATTACAAACATCTGCCCGAAGGAACCTTACTGAAGGAATATTCCGTAAGGAATTTTTGTAATCATGAATAGAAAGGAACCTTCACAAAAAAGGAGTACATATGAAGGAATCCGTGTACAAGCTTCCTGACCAATAAATCGTTACCCAGGGATCCTCATTCAGGAATCTTTCTTAAAAGGACTTTACCAACAAATCCACGCGATGGAATTATTCTTGACGCTTCGCGTATCCCCACCAGCCCCACCAGCCTCGGCCCCTCAGTACCGCCATTCCTGCGGTTCGTTCTCTTCAAGGGCACGTGGCCCCCGGACGCACGTGGCACAGCCTGTGCATCAGTCCGCTGCCCTACCGTGCTGTGTTCACGGTTCGGACGGCGGCGCCTGCAGCCCTTCCCCGCTCCGTGGCTCGACCCCGTGGTGTGCGCTACTGGTCGGGTCGCCCACGTCGTCGGCGTTAGCGGGAAGTCTCGTGTCTCTCGTTGGCCCGATGGCCCAGATGCGTACGGTGTTGACTTCCTCCATCGTTCGTCTGGTCCCTGTTCGTCCTAGTCGCCATCCGTGGCCGGACGATTGCGGACCGCACCGCCCTTCAGCGGGGCTTTGGTGTGCGACTTCGGTGGCGCCACCACCCGCACCTGCTGGACCATGGTGGGCATCTTGGGCAGTCCGTACACCGATTTGCCGTCACCTGGTCAAATCTTGGAGCTACTACCCGCCATTTCGGCTGCGCTCCAGCTTCGGTTGGCCAACTCATGCGCACTCAATTCGTTTACTTGGTGGTTCAGGCCTCCACGATTCAGGCCACCCTGGCAGCCTCTCAGTTTGCATCTGTTGCCCAATTCTCTGCAGTTCAATTCACACCCGGCAGCCTGCAGCCCCTGGCAGTCAGCAGCCCCTGGCAGTCAGCAGCGCGTTTGCAACTCGGTGCACGTTCGCAGCCCCTGGCAGCCTGCAGCTCACTGCCCCCCCCCCTCGGCCCTTTCCTGGTCTCGGCCTGAGTTGCGGCGGTAGGCCTGTTCAGTCTAGGTAATTTAGGACCTCGCGCGGCCCGCTCGGACCTTGACACGCCGTCGGCGCGCTCGCCTGCGGCTGGCTACAAAAAGTACCCCCGCCAGCCCGACGGCCAGCCCCAGGGCCAGCCTGGCGACCAGCCCAGCGGCCAGACCGATTGCCAGCCCCACGGCCTGGCCGGCTGCCAGCCCCACGGCCCGCCTGACGGCCAGCCGGTGGCCCGCCCCGTGCCCAGAGCAGCCGCAGCGCGCCGGTTTCTCTCTCTCCGGAGGCAGGCAGGCGGACCCCAAAGGCAGACCCCAATTGTGTTCCTCACTCCTATCCACGCCCCTTGGGCAGTGTCGTTGTGGAGACATGAAATGCGACCCGAAGCGCGCCCCCTCCTGGAGACAGCGCCGTGGCGACACTTGGGGGCGCTGCAAAGGGCGCGCCCGCGCTCGGATAATTACGTTCCTCACAATTTTGACTGTCAGGAATTTGTATCCGAAAGTGCGGCCTTCAGCTGCAAACGTCCCATGGGAGAGCTCGAGACTGATCAGGCGGTCGTTTGCCACAGCGCGTCGGTCCCTCCCCCTCCTGGAGACCGGCAGGCGGACCTCCATAGTGCTCCTCACTCCTATCAGCGTCCTTTGGGCAGGTTCGCGGAGGAACCCAGAAATGCCGTCGAAAGCGCGTTCCCTCCTGGAGACAGTATCGTGGTGAGAACAGGGGGTGCTGCAGAGGACGCGCCCGCGCTCGGAGACGTTCCCCCCAGGAATTTGCATCCGAAAGTGCGGCCTTCAGCCGCAAAAGTCTTCAGGGACAGCTCGAGACTGATCAGGTGGTCGTTTGCCACAGTGCGTCGGTCCCTCCCCCTCCTGGGGACCGGCAGGCGGACCCCCATAGTGCCCCTCACTCCTATCAGCGTCCCTGGGGCTGTTTCGCGAAGGAACCCAGAAATGCTGTCGATAGCGCGCCCCCTCCTGAAGACAGCATCGTGGCGATTACTGGGGGTGCTGCAGAGGGCGCGCCCGCGCTCGGAGACTTTCCTCCCAATTCAGACATTAAGGAATTTGCAACCAAAAGTGCGG